TTGGGACTGGGGCATGGAAGTATAAAGAAAAGAAATCAGAGGATTTCTATTCTCTTCCAGAGCATCAGATGACTACTTTCCACTCCTTGAGCCATCATAGAACTCGAGGGCTTCTCCCTTACTTCTGTCTCTGCTGATGCACACTTTCAGAATTTGGGCTATGTACATTTCTGGTTAGGGAATATGAGAAGAAAAAATGGTAAGCTCAGTGTCGATCTTGTGGTATTTTCACTTCTGTTCCTCCTCAAACAGCTTGCTCCTGTTTACCTTTCAGAGTCAAATACCTACTGTATGCATTCTACCCAAGTTTTAGACCTGCATTTAGTAGAAACAACTAGGTAGGATAGGCTAATTATATCTTTCCTAGAACCTCATGCATCTTTTTACTTAACATTTTCTATGTGTTTATATTTAAAGCATGTTTCTTGTATGCAGCATGCAGTTGATTCTTGCATTTTAAAAGAAATTAAATCTTACATTCTTTTTTTTTTTTTTTTTTTTTTTTGAGACGGAGTCTCGCTCTATCGCCCAGGCTGGAGTGCAGTGGTGCAATCTTGGCTCACTGCAACCTTCTCTTCCTGGGTCCTGGTTCAAGTAATTCTCCTGCCTCAACCTCCTGAGTACCTGGGATTAGAGGAACGCGCCATCATGCCCAGCTAATTTTTGTATTTTCAGTAGAGACGGGGTTTCACCATGTTGGCCAGGCTGGTCTTGAACCCCTGACCTCGTGATCTGCCCACCTCAGCCTCCCAAAGTGCCAGGATTACAGGCGTGAGCCACTGCGCCCGGCCTCTGTCTTTTAATTAGTGCCTTTAGAGCACGATTTAATATAATTATTGACATGACTGAATTAAAATCTATCATTTGCTAATTGTTTTATATTTGTTCTATCTGTTCTTTTTTTTTCTCTCTTTTAAATCTTCTTTTGAATTGAGGATTTTCTGTGATTCCGTGTTATCCCCATAATTGATTTATTATTTCTACTGAAAAATTTAATGCATGTTTTCAGAGCTTACAATATATATCTATAATTAGAGTCTATTTCCAAATAATATTATGTCACTTCTCATGTAGTGTGTGGGTTTTGCAACACAAACTGCCAAACCTTCTCTCCCAACATTTGTGCTATTTTTTGTCATGTCTTACTTTTACATATGGTATTAACATAGTACCTTGATATTATTTTTCTTTTGACAGTGACTTATCTTTTAATTTTTAAAATAAGAAAAAAGTTAACTTTATATTTATTTTCATTTCTTGACATTTCTGGAGGTCATCATTTCTTTGTGTACGTCCAAGTTTTTGTCTGGTATCATATTCATTCTGCCTGAAGAACACCTGTTAACATTTCTTATGGTACAGATCTGGTGGCAATGAATTTTGTTTTGTTTATCTGAAAAAATATCTATATCTCCTGCATTATTGAAAAATATTTTTGCGGGATATAAAATTCTGGGTTGATGAGTTCCTGACCTTTCTCCGACCTACCATCAGCACTTTAAAGATGTTACTACATTATCTCTGGCTTGCATGGTTTCTGACGCAAAATTGGTTGTAATTCTTATTTGTGTTTCTCTGTATGTAAAGTGTCTTTTTTCTCTGGCTGCATTCAAATATTCGTGTATGTATATATATATTTATACACACATACTATACACATATAGTATACCCTCATATATGCACATACACATACATACACACAAATACATATAGCGACTAAGGAAAAATGAAACAGGCATACTTTTTCTTTTGGTAGATCTTTATTGTGAAGGCTTGAGTTGATCTAATCAGGAGTTAAACTATGTTTAGGTGTTTTTGTTGCTATGGTTATCCACAGGCTTTGAATTCTTCCAGTATTACCTTGAGTTTAGTGTGTGGGATGGTTTGCTAAAGGAGATTTTCTTAGAGTTTGCACCACTCTCACCTTGAGGCCTTCCCTTCATTCCTGTGCCTCAGAGAGGGGTCTTTCTCCATGTTCTTATCCTTCTAGCAGTAGACTGCTATTCTTAGTGACTCAGCATTTGATATTTTGATGGTGGTAGGAGGGATTTTCTGTTGTGATTCAGCTTTAATCTTAGGTAGGCACTGTGTCTCTGAGGCTTAAGGGTGGGGTCTATTAAGGGATGTTGCCCTATCCCCAGCTGTAGGAGACCTCTATGGTCTGGACCCAGGATGTAATTCTACCCCTACTTCATGAATAGAGAGCTTTTTGTTCTCTTTCCTCCCCTCGGTTCCACTGGATCTTAACCAGTCCCTAAGGGTGACAGGATTTGCTTCTTCATCCTCAGAGGCTTAGGGCTTTTGTTCTGTAGGGGAAATAGGGGAGAAGGTCCTGGATGGGGATTCAGGTCTTTTTCTAGGGGGCAGGTTTTCATAAGATTCTTCTTGCCTTACTGTCAATTGTATGTGTGTATGAGTGTGTGCACACATTTGATGATGTCCATAGAGAAGAATATACAAGAGGGTGGAAATTCTGCTTGTGTCTATGGTTCACAGGAGTTCTGTAGTCTCTATATTCTCAGGCTAGCCAATACTTGGACCTCAGCAACTCACTATACATTTTAGCTGATTTCTTCTTAACAGCTTACATGGCATCCAATGGCATCTGTCCTACGTAAAAAGTGCTTACAACCATCTCTCCTTGAAAGTGCCTGTCTTACATCAGATTTTAGATTAAGTTGTTTGTCCCCAGATCTTAGTTTTCTGATGTGTTCAAGAGAAAATTTTAGATTATCTGGCTGTTTTTTGTTGTCGTAAGGGTGGGGCCATGCTCTTTTCAGTTTTCTACATCTTGAGGTGAATGTCTTGATTTTTAAAAAAGAATCACACTTTTAAAAACACTGAAAAATAAAGAAAAGGGACTGAGCTACCAGAACGGTGACAGCAGTGACTTTGGGTGGCTCTCACTTATGTCAGGCACAGGGTGAATTCAAGGCTCTGGGCTATTAGGGGTAGACTGCAAACCCCTGCAGCAGATGTGAGCTGCATGTGTGGGCCCCTGTGTCAGCCTGTGCTCATTTGTCTTCCTACAGTGATGTCATGTGATACACAACACTCAAGGACAATGGAGGTGGGAGCAAATGTCCCTTATTCTTCACACCCTTCACTGCTGGCATCAAGGCAGTTACTCTACCCTCGCCACAGGCTTTGGCACAGCATGTCAGGAAGTTCTCTGGGGTGGCCACACCTATATCCTCTAAGGGCTTTCAACAGGTTTCTCATCATGATAGGTATCCTTTCTTACCTCTGATTGATGCAGTGACGCTGTTTTCCTGGGACAGTGTTAAGCTGTGCCGGACAGGGGATGAATATTTCTTGGGTAAATTGACCACTCTCACTTTGCCCATGGTCCATTGCTAATCCTCTCTGCTAGTGGTAATGTATAGAAGTGAGATGCGTCAGCAACATTGAAACACATCACATTCTAGGAGTGCAATCATTACAGCAATTCAAAAGAAGTCCTGGTTGTATAATGTGTGATTCATTGATTATGCTATAACAATCCAAATGCTAAATTTAACAAGATCAGTAAAACATATAACCAATCACATTTTCTTGCATATTCTGGGTAAGACTTGTAGTTGCAGTTATTGTAGAACAGTAATAAAGGCACTGGAAGCCAGTATTCAAGGTTGACAGGATGATGCAGTGTCACGAGCAAGGTGCCTCGACTCAGAATCGGGCTCTGGAGGAACGCCAAGAGCCTATCTCGCCAGCGTGCCCTTTTCCTCGCGGGAATTAGGAGGGAAGCACCAAGATGTGGGGTCCTCCAGGAGTCCTAGAGAGAAATCCAGAGAGTGTATGGGTTGGCCAGTCAGTGTGATGACGCACTTCCGGGACCGCCTTCGTTTTTGTCGCGTGAGGTTTTGGTTTGTGAGGATCGGTGAGGGGCGCCCACCATCTCTGCTTGCTGAAAAGCTGCAGAGGCCGCCAGGAGTCCACGGTGAGCGGGTCTGAGGAGGACGGGAAAGGGCCACGAAGGAGGCGGGCGCGGCTACTGCTGGTACTGGGGTCCTCATGCTGATCCCTGAGCTTGGCTCGGTAGCGTCGAGATGGGGAACTGGCAGAGGCCCGGAACTGTGGCCGCGACTCCCACCCCCTCGTTTCTCTGTACCCGGGGCAGCCTGTGGCCCACTCAGAGTCAGATACTGACACACATTCATATGTTAACTTCGAAGCCCACAAAAAGTTTTAACTGTCCACACTCCAGAACCTTCTAGCAACAGAACACGCCCCTCGGTCGCTCCAGCCCCCTTGTCTTTGCCCCGGATGCGGAAATCCCAACCCTACCCCTCAGCTTGTCAGTTTCCCCGTTTTCAGTTGGTCACAGAAAATCAGTTGGTGATCAGTTATTTTCGCCTGGCATAGTGTACGCCAGTCTTGAAACTTGTTACTGTTGTAGAGCAACCAAAAATTTGAGAATACTAAAATGTATTCCCTACCCGTCCCCAGGATGTCCCATTTTGGAAAATATGGAGCCCTGTGATTTGGATTGGCTCATATGAATGTTAAATCTGAAAGGACTAGTCGTATCCATCATGCACCTAATATGTGTCTAGTGTTTAACATAGTTTCTATGTACAGGATTGGAGATGTTGAAAGATTTCTTGACCTCTTAACATTGTTCATTATATTCTTTTCATTACATTCTGGGAACTTTTACTCCACTGTCATAATTTAATTGTCAAGGTTCATAGGTTAACATTCGATGTCCCTGCCATTAGTCGACTATGTTGGGAGTGTGACTTGTTCTCCAATGTGGCTTGTTATTTATGCTTCACCTCCACATAGTTTTTCCTATAGGAAGACACTTCCATAGGGAGTGTTTTGTGTTTTGTAGGGTGGCCTCTGTTGTAGTTCTATTTCCAGATGATTTCCCTTTCACAGATTGTCAGCTGTGCACATCAGACCTTTTTGCTTAAGTCCTTTTGTTTGATGTGCTAATCCTATTAAGTATCCACTGTAAGGGACATTTATTGACGATACGATTATAGTATCATGATTTTAGAGAATTAGACACCACAACTACAAGGGTTACCTATTTACTCAGTATGAATCACTGCTTTTGTTACCCTTCCTTGGACAGAAACCATCCATGAATTTAGCAGCATTACTTGTGTAGGTTTACATTGTGTTTTCTTTTAAAGTACTTCTCTTTACACTCATAAATATTTCTCCTTACTGGACTCCCTGTTAACTTCCAAGATGCCTGTTAACTTCCAAGATGCCGTTTCTAGCGTCTCCTGACAGCTGTTTGACACCTTCAGCTTCCTCTACCTTCCTGAATGGCTTTCTGGATTCATTAAGAAGAGTCATTGGAGGGAGGGGCAATGCACTGGCTTTATAGTCTTTTGTCCCATGCTGTTGCAGTATCCTAAGACTTAAGGCAAAATGCAGATACGGAGTTGGAATGGAAGTTGTTTTTAAGGTCTATGAGTACATGCACTTTTATGTGTTTATATGCTTTTTGAATATCTCTGATCCACCTGTTGGCAGCTCTTTGTATTTCAGGTGTTGCCTTTAATGCATAAATATTGATGATTCACTCTTGAAAGGCAAAAGACTTACTTCCTAATGATGAACTAATTAAATGACCCAGAATGAGAGTTGGAACTAGTTTAGAAATGAAATTGTTTTGTTTCCTTATACTATAACATTTGGAACTTGGAGTATTTGGGACATATTATGAAGTTGATGGATTCTTTTAATATGGTAGTGTTTTCTTTCTCATTACCCACTCCCAACACGTTTATAAAACTGAATATCTTGTATTTAGGGGAAAAATAGTAGTAGGGAGACATCAGAATATTCCTAATAACTATTTTCAAAGTCTGTTAAACTTTTATTACTTCAGTCGTAGAAACTGTCTTGTTCTAATATTAAGTAGCATGGGAGGAAAAACATGCTGAGGTCTTACAGTGTTTAATGGATTTCTTTTATATAACTCATTCTTATCTGTACTGTATGGATTTCAGGGATCTTAACTGTTCAGAATTCCGACTTTCTTTTCCACCTATAACACTCTATCCACCGTCTACCTTAGTTTCCTTTTCTGTTTTCTTTCCTGTGATATCTTCTCTGGATTAGCTGAAATTATAGTTTTCTCAGTCCACTTTTTAATGACTCATTCCTTGAATGTTTCTACCTCCTTTTTGCATTTCTCTGTATGCCTGCTATCTCGCCTTTGTGAGACTGATGATAAACAATAACTAATGAACAGTTATTTATATAGCCTTCAAAACAGGATGGGTCAGAGGTTGTATGTAGGACTTATGGTCAATAAAGTTATCGCCATTAATGTTTTTTTCTTCACCTTCAGCACCTGAGACTTTTACCTTTACCCAAGAAAGGAATAAAAAAGGTCAGATGATGACGGCTGTGTCCTTAACAACCAGGTCCCAGGTGAGCTGCTGCTTTTTTCTGTCTCTGTACGTATCCCTGTGTGTATATACATATATGTTTATTAGATACATACATAGAAATATCTATATATACACGTTTACATAAATATATAGCATACTTTTATATATGCATATATATACACACACACACATTTCTCATTGAGGTTTAACTTATATAACACAAGTCTTAACAGTATAGCTCGCTTTTTAGAACTATGTACACTTGTATGACCTCACTCATAGAAACACATAGAACATTATTAGCACCCCAAAAGTCCCTTTCGTACTGCCTCCCAAGCAATCCACTGCTCATCCCAAAGTTAACCACTATTCTGACCTCTGTCACCATGGGAAAGTTTTGTTTGTTCTTGAACTTCATATAAGTGGAATCATTAAACATGCATTGTTTTGTATCTGCCTTCTTTTGTTCAACATTATGTCTGTGAACTTCACTGACTTTGCACACAGCGGTGATTTGTTCTTTTTCACTACTAAGTAGTTTTTCATTTTGTGATAATAGCACATTTTATTCATTCTGTTGTGGATGGACTTTTGGTTTTTCCCATTTTGGGCTACCATGAATAAGAATGCAGTGAACATTCTTGTCTTTTTGTGGACATAGATGCTCATTTCTCTTGGGTATGTCTCTTTGAGTAAAATTGCTAGCTCATAGAGTATACATTTGGTTAGTTTTAGTAGATGCTGCCCAACAATTTTCTGAAATGATTCTTCCAATTTGTATTTCTATCAGCAGTGTACAGTTGCTCCACATCCTTACCAATACTTGTTGTCACTCGTTTGTAGTATCTCATTGGGGTTTTAAAAATTTCCTCATCTCTAGTAAGCAGTGATGCTGAGCACCATTTCATAGGTTTATTGACATATCCTCTTATGTGAACTCCCTGTTCAGATATTTTTTCATATTTTTTATTACACTGTACCCTTTTTCCTCCTAAGTTGTATTGTTTCTTATTTATTATAAGTCCTTTGTCAGATATATGTGTTACTTCTCCCAGTCAGTGGCTTGCATTTTCACTCTCCTAATGGTATCTTTTGATAAACAGATTTTACTTTTAATGAAGTCCAGTATATCAGTTTGTTTTGTATAAGAAATCTTTTCTTACTCAGACATCATGAAGATGTTCTCCTGTGTTTTCTTCTAGAAGATTTATTGTTTTACCTTTATACTTAGGTGTGTGATTCATCTCAAATTAAAGGTGTGAGGCATGGGTCAAAAGTTCTTTTTCCCTCCATACACATATCCAGTTGATTCCTATCTTTTATCCACTGAATTGCTCTAGTTACTTTGTCATACATTTGGTGAACATATACATCTGTGTCTGTTTTTAAAATCCCTTAGATTTTAGGTTCTCTTAATCTCATACTCCAAGTTAAGACCATTTCCACTAAAGCTCTATTTCTGAAATACAGAGCTTGACTCCAGGGCTTAAAAACTTGAAATAGCCACCTTTTTAGGCCTATCTTGAGCCTTATGCACCACCGTAGCCTTTCTCAAGTAAGCAGTATTTTCCTGTGCCTCTCTAACCTCACTACCTCTGCATGAAGACAGGCTGCGGGTGGGAGTTCATTGACTGATCGGAGAGCTTTGTGCTTGTTGTAGTGGGCAAGGAGACAGGCAAGAAAGAAGGATTAGAATGAAAGTAGAATTGGGAAATGGAGTAATATGAGTAACTGAAATAATCACTGGGATATACACAAATTAGGGAGGGGCTTAGAGCTAAGCTGACAGCTATGTTCAGGGGTCAGTTCTCCTTCCACATGCGCACTTCTATGCTCGGGCCCAAGCCCAGATCCTATGCAGCAGGTTCAGTGTCTGTGTGGAGGTCACATGTTTAGAAGCTCATAGTGGAGGTGTACTTGGTTCTTACTGGGAAAGTATCCTGAACTCTGACTGGCTACCTTTAATTCTGCATCTTCTTCCTCCACACCTAAATTTTACACAAAAAAACTCTAGGCATGTGAAGGACCCAATACTGAATACGTATCATTATAGGTGCCCTTCTCAGGTGTCTCATTGACAGATTTGACCATCACCAAAGTACTGAGGTCTGGGAAAGTAGGAACTTGTCATTTCAGGAATCAGTGGCTTTTGAGGACGTGGCTGTGTACTTCACTACGAAGGAATGGGCCATCATGGTGCCTGCCGAGAGGGCCTTGTACAGGGATGTGATGCTGGAGAACTATGAGGCTGTGGCCTTTGTAGGTAAGGCCTCTCTGCTGTTGGTTTCTGCCTGGGCCCTCAGGTTGAAGGGCTCTTTTATAATTATTAGCTAGCTGACCCCAAATAGTGATGTCAGAGGTTGCCAGGTATAGAAAGCCCTGGTGTCTATTGACCTGCAAAGGGCTTTCCTTCTTTTTCTGTTGTAAAAGCTGCCCTCCTTCCCTACCTGCCTCAGAGGTGATTCTGAGTACAATAGGTCTTGAGCTATATCGTGATACCCTTAGCCTAGTATTGAACCTCCAATTTATCTTGAGAGAACCCAGCCACTTTGTCTCCCTCTGGGAGTTACTCCTAGGAGCCATTTGTCTTTTTCCCATAGTGGCAGATTTTCATCCTCTGACAAAGAAGGTAAAAAATTTTGTTGCCCTTTAAATAGAAATCTGCCTTCCAGGGTATTTCAGGCTTCCTTGGAAGAACCATCCTGACTCTTCTTCCCAGGATCCCTCCCAGTACCTCTTTAGGGTACCTCTTCTATAGCTCACCCAGGAATTACCCTCCTCACCTCCCTTGCTTGTTCTTGCAGCCGTGGGCTTGACTTTGACCCCTATGACTGTGCTCATTATTCTGTTATGTTTTCTTCTTTTCAAGCAGTGCCGCCCACTTCCAAACCAGCTTTGGTCTCTCATCTGGAGCAAGGGAAAGAGTCCTGTTTCATTCGGCCACAGGGAGTCCTAAGCAGGAGTGACTGGAGAGCAGGCCTGATAGGTGAGTTAAGCAAGAGAGATCTTCTCCAGCTTTGTCTCTTCCTTTGCCTTCATTTCATCAAAATGAAAGGTGTGTGTTCTCTGTGCCCAACATCATGGAGTACACTGGGATCCTCGATCACATTCTTTCTGACTGGTGTGTTATTCATAGCTTCCCATTCCTTTAAAGTGTAGTGCACAACACTCTGCTTCTGTATTTCACACACGGAGACGCTTTTATCTCTTGGGGATATGTGGAACAGTTTTTCTAAATACTTTACAGGTTATTTGTGATCACTTTTTTCCAGTTTCTCCAGTTTTACAAAATTGATAAACTTGGTGCAGTATTATCTTGTCCACTGACCAATAGAACAAGTAGAAAAATTTTTGTTTTTCATGAAAACTAATATATTAAAAATTTTAAATAATTTTATACTGAAATATTTTAAGGTAGCTTACAGTTGTTATGATTTTCCTCCCCTCTAGGATACTTGGAACTAAGAAGATATACTTACTTAGCTAAAGCAGTGTTACGTACAATAGTATCAAAGATTTTTCAAAATCGTCAATGCTGGGAAGACAGGAGAAAGGCTTAATTCTTGATATTTAAATACCAGTTTTCCAAGTAAGGAGTTGATGTAAGAGCTACCTTAAACGATGTCAAACACACATTTTCTTTTTCTGTAGACTGGTAGATTTAATGTTTTTCATTCATTAAAATAACTCATTTTGATGTACAAAGCAGGCTCTCATGTCCTTTTTTAAACAGCTTTGTGGAGATATAATTCACAAATCATACAATTCACCCATTTAAAGTATACAATTAAGTGGTATTTAGAATATTCACAGAGTTGTGCAGGCATGCCACAGTCTACTTTTAGATCTTTAGAAACCTCTGTCTGTTAGGAATTATTCACCATACCCAACCCCAACTCTTGGTTTTACGCAACTACCTATCTACTTTTTGTTTCCATAAATTTTCTCATTAGGGATAGTTGGTATTAATGCAGTCATACAACATGTGGCCTTTTGCCACTGGCTTTCACTTAACATAATGTTTTCAAGGTTAATCCATTTTGTAACATGCATCAGTATAGTAGTATACAAGTTATAATGCAGATGTGTTTTCTCATGGGTACATACTCTGGATAGGTACTTGTTGGGTCTTAATGGTAACTCTTTGTATAACATTTCGAGGAATGCCAAAACTTTTTCTGAAGTGGCTATACCAATTTACATTTCCTCCAGCAATGTATAAGGGTTCCTAATTCTTCACGTCCTCACCAACACTTAATATTGTCTACCTTTTTGGCTGTGGGCATCCTGGTGATGTGAAGTGCTGTCTCATTGAAGTTTTTATTTGCATTTCTCCAGTGACTAATGACATTGAGAGTCTTTCAGTGTGCTTATTGGCCATTTATGTATCCTCTTTGGAGAAATGTCTTTTCAAACTGTGCACATTTTAAAATTGGTTACTTTTCCTTTTATTTTTGTGTTTTAAGAGTTTTGTGGCTCACGCCTGTAATCCCAGCACTTTGGGAGGCCGAGGCGGGCGGATCACGAGGTCAGGAGATCGAGACCATCCTGGCTAACACGGTGAAACCCCGTCTCTACTAAAAATACAAAAAATTAGCCGGGCGTGGTGGCGGCGCCTGTGGTCCCAGCTACTGGGAGGCTGAGGCAGGAGAATGGCGTGAACCCGGGAGGCGGAGCTTGCAGTGAGCCGAGATCGCGCCACCGCACTCCAGCCTGGGCGACAAAGCGAGACTCCATCTCAAAAAAAAAAAAAAAAAAAAAAAAGAGTTTTGACATCTAGATACTAAAGCCGTGTCAGATACATGGTTTACAAATATTTCATCCCATCTTGTGAATTGTCTTTTCACTTTCCTAATACTCTCCTTCGAAGCACAACAGTTTTGAATTTTGGTGAATTTCTTTGTATTTTCTATATACAAAATTATGTCATCTGCAAATAGAGTTTTACAAACTTCCTTTCTAATCTGAATGCCTTTTACTTTTTTTCTTGCCTAATTACTCTGGCTAGAACCTTTAGCACAATGTTGGATACAAGTTGCAAGAGTGGACGTTCTTGTCTTATTCTTGATCTTATGGGGAAAGCATTCAATCTTTTACCAGTAAGTATGATGTTAGCTATGATTTTCTTGTAAATGCTCTTTATCAAGTTATCAAGTTGCTAATTTGTTGAGTTTTTGTCGTGGAAGGGTGTTAAAGTTTGTGAAATGATATTCTGTGACGGATAAATTTGGTTCTTTCCTGTATTCTATTAATGTGGTATACATTACATTGATTGATTTTGGTGTGTTGAACCCCACCCTCCATTCCTTGGATAAATCATAGTCAGTGATGTACAATCCTTATACTGCTGGATTTCATTGGCTAGTCTTTGGCAAAGACTTAGTGACTTTATGATTCATGAGTGGTTATTTTGGGTGGTGGGTTAGATATGCATTCTGCAAATCCAGTACTGTGTTCTCTAACTGTAGTGTGTATATTATCTTTCCCAAGGAAGTTACAGGCTTTCTGACAGCAGGAATAATATAATACTTTTCTCATTTATGCCATAACACTTTATGCAGAGTTACTTGATATTTTTTGTTGTTTTTCACTTAATTAAGAGATTCTCTCCTAACTTTATGCCTCCCAGTTATGTCTCCATTCTTTCCCTACTGTATCTGAGTCCTCTGTTTCGTGTTCCCATCCTTATTTGTTGTTGGTATTTTTACACTACCACTCATTCCCATAGCCCATGACCTTCCCTTTTTGATTTCTCCTATCTTCTTAGCTATCTTCTCATCTTGAACTCTCTTTGGACTTCTAAACTCTGATAAAGCTTTCTCTTCCCTCTCGGGATTCAGGACTTTTCCTTTTCTCACTTTATTCCCTAAATGCTCTAAAGTCATTTCAGGTGTGATGGCTTATATCTGTAACCCCTGCTACTTGGAAGGCTGTGGCGGGAGGATTGCTTGAAGGTAGGAGTTTGAGACCAGCATGGGCAACATAGTAAGACCCCCATCTCTGAAAACATACCATTAGCCAGGTGTGGTATTACATGCCTGTAGTTCCAGCTGCTCAAGAGGCTAAGGCAGGAGGATTGCTTGAGCCCAGGAGTTCAAGGCTTCTGTGGGCTATGATCACCCTACTGTACTTAGTCCTGGGTGACAGAGTGAGACCTTTTGTCTTTAAAGAAAAGCATTTTATAAGGACACAAAAGCTGTGTAATAATAGGACATACTAATCTTACTTGCTGATTAGTTCAGGCAAACTATGACCCATAGGCCAAAATCTGGCCTACCACTGGTCTTTTTGTAGATGACCTGTGAAATAAGAATGGTTGAATTTTTAGTGGCTGAAAGAAATCAATAGAATATTTTGTAACACATGAAAATTATTTGAAATTCAAATTTCAGTGTCTATAAATGAAGTTTTATTGAAATACAGTTATGTTCATTCATTATGTTTTGTCTATGTCTGCATTCACATTACATGATAGGGTTGAGTACTTGCAACAGATAATTGTATGGCCTGAAGAGCTTAAAACATTTACTATCTAGTCATTTACAAGAAATGTTTGCTAACTTCTGGTATACTTCCCTCTAGCATTGCTGAGAGGTGGGTATTTGTATTTCTTCTTCTCTAATCAGGTGGAAAAACCTCGGCTGAGAATGAGCATCTGACGTCAAAACAAATACTTTCTGATAAACACAAATCTTGTGGCATGGTATCAGGTGAATATCTGAGAGGGGGACCTGGTATTCAAGATAATTTACAGATCAAAGGGCAAGTTAGTGAGACATAAAAGAGATTTCACAAGGGATGAAATGAATAAAAACGAGAAAGGTTCTGTGAAGGAGATAATCAGTAATGAGAAACTTCATGTAGAAGATACAAACCATCTACAAAAGAAATCAGAAAGAAATACTAGTGTTAGTTCTCAGCATGAAACGCATCTGCAAGGACCAGGTATACAGATTTTCTATAAATCTGATGTATGGGACAAACATTGCAGTCACAGTTCAGACTTTTTTCAGTGTCAGAAAAACTACACTAGAGCTCCCCCAAATGCCGTCTTCACTTCTCTCCTCCTTTCTGTGATCTTTCCTGGACTTACATAGGCCCTTTGCCCTTTGTAAATTTCATACTGCCTTTTAATTTCAGTCTTACTTGCACCCTCCTCCATTTTGCATTTTTACCTTTCTGTAGATGGCCACAGCATGCTTGCTGCTCAATTTTATACCCTGTGGTGGACATAGGTTTCTGTTTTTGTCTGTTGTAGCAAGGGCAAGAAGCAATGATTAGGTGAGAAAAGGTCAGGAAATATGAATATATTTCCACTGTAAATGAATATATAGCATGATCATTTGAGTACATTATAAGAATGGCAGAAGTGAGTGAGTTCACTCAACTCAGGAAGAGAAGGATTCAAATAGAAACTGAAGATATTGCTGCCAGAAATGGACTTTTTAGAGAGGTGTTTATGCCTTGACCTCATAGGAGGCCGTAACATAGTAGTAAATGGGAACCGGTCCTCAGTTTTACTTTTTCAGGGTTGATTTCATCTGGGGTGCAACATTCAATGAATACTAGCCACTGGGTTCATTTGACATTTCACAGGAGACTGAATTGTTAAACAAAAAGTCAGTTTGTGGCTGGGCATGGTGGCTCAGACCTGTAATCCCAGCACTTTGGGAGGCTGAGGCAGGAGGATCACTGGAGGCCAGGAGTTCAAGACCAGCTTGGGCAACATAGCAAGACCTCCATCTCTACAAAAAATAAAAAAATGAGATGGGTGTGGTGGTGCACACCTGTAGTCCTAGCTACTCAGGAGGCTGAGGCAGGAGGACCACTTGAGCCCAGGAGTTTGAGGCTGCACTGAGTCATCATCATGCCATTGCTCTCCAGCTTGGGTGACAGAGCAAGACCCTGTCTCCAAAAAGTCAGTTTGTTATTTTCTATATGGGAACATCTTCTCTAGGTCCAAAAGAATAATTTACTGTCTACTTTTCATGTGTCTGTCTTTTCTTCCTTCCATAACTGGGTCAAGCAGTGTTATTTATGAAAAAGGTATATAAGCTTTTGTAGGTTGACTGCTTCTAGATGACATTTTCAGGAACAGTGATGAATTACCTCCCTTTCCCTTGTCTCCCCTTTGCAAATGTTACCCTTTGTTGTAGGCAAAGGTTGTGCTTTGCAAAGGTTATCCTTTGTTACAGTCAAAGGTTACCCTTTGTTATAGTCAAAGGCTATGCTTGGCCAGAAGCTACAGTTTAGAAAAATGTAAGCGAGCTAGATGTTGGTGACTTTGAGCCAGAATAGTCACAACCTACTTAGAGACCATTTTATCCAAGGTTAGAAAGTATGAACTCAGAACAAGGTCTTGTAGCTGAAAGCAGCATTGTCACGTAGAGAAATGGTCTAGAGGAGACATACTGTGAGCTGAGAAAAGAAAGAACCTCAGTTAATGGAGTCCACAGATTTATTCAAACAGCAAAGAGGTTTGGGAACCCCAGGATGAGGAGTATCAATCCAGAGAGCAAGAAGAAACATCCCTGGAGGTCCAGGCTGTGGTATTTATGGCCTGAGTGCATTATTGGTAACTACCTTGCATATGATGGATGATGGGTAATGCATCCATGGACTGTTTCTAGATATCTGACAAAAAGGGAACTTGTCCTTGAGATCCGTTCATAAGATTGAGAGGTTACCAGGCCAAGAAGAAGATA